CTCGCCGGCGCGGCCGTGCACCCAAGCCACGCCCTTATCACCGCTGTGCACCCGGGCTGGGCGCTGCTCTCCCACGCCATGCATTACCGCCAAGCCCTGCTCAAAGCCGCCGCCGCCGCGCACCCTAGCCAGGCCCTGCTTTCCGCCATTACGACTGTGTTTCCGTTTCAGGCCCTGCTCAAGGCCGCCGCCGTGCTTCTGCGCCAGACCCTGCTCAACGCCGCGGCCGTGCTTCTGCACCAGACCCTGCTCAAGGCCGCCGCCGTGCTTCTGCGCCAGACCCTGCTCGACGCCGCGGCCGTGCTTCTGCGCCAGACCCTGCTCGACGCCGTGGCCGTGCTTCTGCGCCAGACCCTGCTCAACGCCGCGGCCGTGCTTCTGCGCCAGACCCTGCACAACGCCGCCGCCGTGCTTCCAGTCCGGGCGCTGCTCAACACCGCCGCCGTGCTTCTGCGCCAGATCGTGCTCAAGGTCGCCGCCGTGCTTCCAGTCCGAGCCCTGCCCAACGCCGCCGCCGTGCTTCCAGTCCGGGCTCTGCTCAACGCCGCCGCCGCCGCCGTGCTTCTGCATCAGGCCCTGCTCAGCGCCGCCGTCGTGCTCCCGCGCCAGGCCCTGCGCTCAACAATCACGCCAACCCGCCAGGCCCTGCCCTCCGAATCCGCGCATCCGGGCCAAGCCCTGCCCTCCGAAGGAGCAGCGCTAATCCAGGCTTTGTCCTCCGGAGCCGCGCTAATCCAGGCTTTGTCCTCCGGAGCCGCGCCACCCAGCGAAGGTCTGCGTCTAGCAGCCGCTCCTCTCGGCGCGGGCCTGCTGGCCAGAGCCCTTCATCCCCTGCTTTTGCCTTAGGAAGGCTTGTCTTCCAGAGCAGCTCAAGCTCTCCTGATTCTGAGGTCTCAAGCTTTGCTTCCCAGCAGGGTTGGCATGCAGTCCGTATGCGTGCTTCCTCACCCTCACCTCCCGGTAGGTTGCGTCCTTTCCCTCAGCCTTATGGTGAGAATTTCTCCTCCTCTTCATCCTCCTCTTCCTCCTCTTCCTCTCTCTTACCCCGTGAGTCTTCTGACCAGAGGCCCTCCTCCTCCCCCTCTAATTTTTCTAGCCAGAGTTCCTCCTCCTCTTCTCAGTTTCCTGGCCTGGGCTCCATCTCCACTCCTAGCCCTGCTACCCTTAGGCGCATCTTGCTGCCAGAGTTTGAAGTGCTGAGCCCTGTCTCTTCAGAAGAGACAGCTGAAATGGGGAGCACTCCTCCCTCTTCTCCACCTCCTGTGCTGTGATTCTCCATGAGCATCCTCACAAGGCCCCCAGAAGTAATCACCATCCACCCACTGCCCTGAATGGGTTGCCTGCTCCGTGGTTACTTGTGAGGTTTACAGGTGTTCTATCCAACTTAACCAACTTGAGTGGTTTTGAAGTTGTTGTTTGGAGAGGCAGTTTTGAAGCCTCTTCTCCCCCACAATGGCACTACCTAGCACTTATTTGCTGTTGGCACTTGATTCCAGGCCCCCTTCTCCCCCAAAAGGGGCTGTCTTTGCCCCTAAGCAGAGATTGCCTTTTCCAAGTTGTTTTTCTAAAATGAAATCTTTGAGTGAATAAAATTTAAATGTTGATTTCACTTTTAAAATGTATTTTTTTATCGTCCAAAAAACTGTTAATCCTGTGTCTTACTTAAAGGACCTGAGAAAGTTGTTACCATACTAACTGACTCGTTGGAAGGGAGAGGAAATAAAATGCTACCCTAGCAAGCATTTATTTCCACTGTCTAACATGGAGTTCTATCCAGAAAATTGCCACTTATATGCTATATATCCTTTTTCAATAGGTGATTTGCATCTTGGACAAGAAAAAGGGGCAGGGTTTAACCCAAGGTGGCTGGAGAAAAGGAGGGGTGATGGAGATATCCAGGTTGAAGAAAGAGGCAGAGCATGACCCTGTATGGATAGAGTGGAGTACTTCCTCGTCAGATGGAGTAGAGAGTGCTGAAAGGAAGACTCAGGATCAGGAAGGGGGAGAACAGCAGGAGTTAGGAGTCCAAGGGGGCAGGTCTCAGTTTTTGGAGGAGGAAAAATTTATGTGTTGGGAACAGGGGCTCCTGAGGTCTCTTAGGGGTTGGGGGTAAGGTAGAGGGAGTGATTCAAGGTTAATGATATAAAAATGTTCAGCTATTTAATGAAAATTGTGTTGATGGATAATCTCAAGGTCCTTGAACTCAAGTTCACCATACTAAAATTTACACAGCCCCTGTTGACCATAAGCATTTCTTTGACCTTTGTTCCTTCTCATATTCTTTCCTTATTAAAGTACCAAGTGCCATCGCACAGCAAACCTCCATTCTGCAAAATGCAATAGACAATTTTTAGATTTCATCTTAATTAACCTTTTAGCAGCATTTGACACAGCTGATCATTCCCTTTTCCTTTATACATGTTCGTCCTTAGTCTTCATAAAGATTGCTGTCTTTATGTTCACCCCACATTCTCATAGACCTTTCTCATTTTCCACACCTCTGATGGATTGCCCAAGGCCTCTGCTTTTTGCCCTTTTTTTCCTACACACAATTTACTTCCCAGGTGATGCCATCTAATTTCACATCTTTGAGTATTGTTTTAAGCTGGTGAATCAAAATATTGTATCTCCACTCCCACCCATTCTCTTATACTCCAGTCATGTATATGCAGCTACGTAATTGACTTTCTGTTTGAGATGTCTAAAAGGCATCTCAAACTTCAGTAATACGCAGTTCTGTGCAGTAGAAATATAATGCTAGCCACACATGTAATACCATTTTCTAGTAGCCAAATTTTAGAATGTGTAAACACAAGGACATTAACTCTAATAATTTAATTTCATCTGTACAAAATACTATTTCAACATTTAATCAATACAAAAGTTATTGAGATATTTATATTTTTCCTACTAAGCTTTCAAAAGTTGATGTGTAATTGACACCTGCAGCATATCTCAGATCTGACTAGCTGCATTTCAAGTACTCAGTAGCCACAAGTGTGGACATAATGCATACAGCCCAGTTTTAGACCTTCTCATTTCCTTAGTCTCTTACTTCTTACTGAATCATGATTCCAGCTTGAGCACTTTCTCATAATTTTGGGCTCCTATCCTAGAAGGGAGCCCTGAGGTGTCAATTTTGAGGCTGCACAGGCACTACGATGCTTCCAGCACCTTTAGTGCCTCTTGAACTGGACTCACTTACCTGGTATCGAAAAAGGCAGAAACCCTGCTGGTTTCAGCTTGTCTTTCCAGTGAGTTGACTAGTTTGTGGTGCTCCTATTATCAAGTTAGTAAAATGCTGTGTTGCTGCTTTTTTTTTCCTTCCTGCACAGACACTGGTACCATATAAGTAACACAAGTTTTGGTGGTTTGTCCTCATCTACTTGAATTTGGGGGGTTTAGGGGATACCTTATAACCTAGATTTGGTGAAAATATTATTCATGTATTTTGCAGTTGATCTCTAGTTGCTCTGTCTGTTTTTATGTGGGTGCTTGGAGAGATCAAAAAGCTATATAGCAGCTGCTGCCACCATCTCCCCAGAATCCCTGCCACCAAGAGTCCTTGCTTCTTGAAAAATGTACCACCTCCCCCTCAGGTATTTCCCCAATGTCTGGTAATAACAATGCGTATAGTCGATCTTTTGGTACCTCTGGAAGGAAAACAGTGGGATCTATCGCCTGTACTAAAATGGAGTAAAGTGGAAGAAAGAATTAAACTCAGGAATCAGAACCGAAACCTATTGGGCATGCCACTGAAAATCTTTAGAACTAAAGGAAATATTTTTGAGAACACATTTTCAAAGCTTCCACTTTGTCATGTTACTTTGTTGGTTCACAAACTGGCCCCTGTACCCGGAGGACAAGGAAAGATGGAAGAAAGAGGGCAGACCACTCCAGATTGATAGGTGGCAGTTTTAATGTGCAAAGGAACTTAAGAGGTTTGTCTCAGGCTGCTGCCAAGATAGTAGATTTCCATACCTGCCCGCCAGAATCTTAAAAGTTTATATAGAGGCCTTAATGAGGTTCAGTCTTATATACCAACCAGATGGTCTCAGTACCACATTACTATCTCAAGACTGAGTCCTTGAAAACGGCTCCAGCTTTCGGAACAGTGAGCAGAACATACATTCCAAGGACGGGGGAAGGGAGTGTGGAACTTCCAGTTGCCCAGGTCCAGCTCCTGGGTCTACTGGCAGTCATGTCCTCTCGATGACCTCCTCCAACATACTTCTTGACTAATTCCACAGATGACCAAAAATTAGAACATGAAGTAGATAGTTTTAGTGCAGCAAAGTCTCACAACCTCGGGTCAGAGGGCCTACATCTATTACCATTTTACAGATGTGGAAGTTGAGGCTCAGGGCAATTTTGTGACTCTTGAGGTATAATTGCTAGTTGGGCTTGGCTGTAAAGTCAGAATTCCTGGTTTAAATTTTGATTTTTCTGTCGACTCACTATATGTTCTGACACAAGTGGATGAACCTGGGATCCTAAATTTCCTTATTAGTGAGGCATGATAAGAGTGCATGCCTCTTAGGGGGAGGGTATAGCTCAAGCAGTAGAGTGCATGCTTAGCATGCAAGAGGTCCTGGGTTCAATCCCCTGTACCTCCTCTAAAAATAAATAAATCTAATTACCTCCCCCAGCCTAAAAACAAAAAGAATGCGTGCCTCTTAGACTGTTGTAAGGATTAAAATGGATGGTGTGTATTAAGTGCTTCCCACAGTGTCTGGCACATAGTGAGTGCCCCGTAAAGATGGTTCTTATTCTGATTAGGGTTATAATCATGGACCCAGATTTTTCTGACCCCAGCACCTACGCTCTTAACATTTTACAGATTGTTTCTCAAGCAATATTACTTTAAATGAAATTAGTCATTTTGAAAAGGGAAAGAGCAATTCATTATCGTACCTACTTTATAATATGAACACATTTCTACACGCTGTTGAGCAACACTTTTGCCAACACCAGAAGCCACTGCATAAAAATGTAAAAAGCAAAGTGTTCAGTTTCCAAAGTACAAACTCTAGAATTTAACAAATTTGAACTTCAAGTACTTAAGGGAATGCTTCTGAGAAGAGTATTTTCTCCAGACCTTGTTTGCATCTTAATTCATTTTAATAAATGAATAGAATACACCGGGGATTGACATTATTGCCTGCAAATTACTTTTACACATTACGTGACAGGCAGATATAACAGGTAACAATCATGGGATGTTTATATGTGTTAAGTATTATTTTAATATTTATACATATACTAACTCTTTTAATCCACAAAACAGTCTCAGGAAATAGGTATTCATACTGAGCTCATTTTTACAGATGAAGAAATTCAGGAATAGAGGTTACTGATTTATAAGATACAATAGAAAGGAAACACATTAAAATTGCGAACACTGTTATGGTCCTTTGCGAAGTTATGAACTTCCTTTGTGAAATAAACTGCATTATGTACGCCTGCACAGAGTACTACTATTCTGCCAAGTGTAAAGTGACAGTTTGGACACATTAATCTGCTGATGTTTAATACAAGGGGTGGTGGTATTTTTGTATTGTGTAAAATCACCCTATTCACCCAAACTTCAAATGGAAAGCAAAAAACTCCAGCTCAGCCACATTAACTCGAAGGCACATGTGAAAATGACCATAGCAAGAGACTATAATTTACTGTACAGGGAAGATTAATCTACCTAGAATCAGGAGTAAGGTATTTAGAAGGTGACAGCAACATTACAGAGCTCTTCTTGGAAATTTCTGCACCCTCTCTAGTGCGACAGAGAGATGTAGCCTCCCTTTGTGTTCCTGCATCCAGGAAGTGTCCAATCCCCAGAAACAGCTGTGAACTGGGAAAGGGGAGGGAAAAGGCCTGTATCATAGTCTCACATCATTCACAGATGCTCGAGCAAAGCTTTACCCCAGGGTTCTGTTGGGGTGAGGAACCAGGAAGTACCAGAAAGATCTTCTGTAGTATTTCCTTGAAAGTTGCCTGCAGATCAACTACCACGCTATACAGGGCTGGTTTCTTGGCCTATGCCCTGTGCAGTTGCTAAGGCCCCTGCTTATTTTAATGATGAGCTGCCACTGTCTTAAAATTCTTAAATGATTTTTGAACAAGGGACCCTGCATCTTCACTTTGTACTGGACCCAACAAATTATGTAGCCAGTCTGAATACCATATTTAATAGAATTTTTTAAAAAATTTATGGGCAAGCAGAGTCCCAGGAAATGTAGCTGGTGGCTGCGAGTTAAAGCTGATACCATCGTCATAACAGTGACTGCAAGGTTGTATAAAGCATATCTTTTTATTCCAATGTTTTGCCGTCTTGGGGCCTTGCTGACAGTGGAAGGGACTGCCCCTCCCAGGCTTAGCTCATTCCTAGAGATAATGCTCCCTCCATATGCCAACCAACCAATCCAAGGCTACACCCAAACCACCTCCTTTATCAGGCTCTCACAGGGCTCTCACACTATTCTGCTCTAATCACCCAAGAGCCAGGTACTAGACTAGAGCCCCTGTGCCCCAGAGCCCACTGAAATTATTCAAATTAGCCAATTCTAAACCTGCTTATCCTGCCTTGGCCACCCCTTCCCACAAAAACCACAG